CTTAAGACACTAAAAACAGAGTTAAAAATAAAAATTAAAAAACATACTAAAACCAGGTATTCACAACATGATTAAATAAAGCACTATAAGAAAGGCTAGTATTTTATGACTAACAATATGGCACACCACTGAAGGACCTTCAGAAAGGGCTGAAAACGCTTCAAATAAATATTTATTTACTACAAAACACAGTAGAAAGCATTTAATAAACGTTTTATTCGTTATTGGTCTACTTGGTCTAAGCTTCTGAATAAAAACATTTTTACAGGTAAAACTGCTTATACCTACTACACTCACTTCAGCAGTTAACTAAGTTGCTTGCACACAATCCTCTGTACAAGAAACGACTTCAATTCAATTTCAATCCTCTGTAAAATAAACGATAAATTCTTCAAACGGACATTCACACATTTAAAAACGGTCAGCCCTGATGTATTTATATAGTTGTACTCTGCTCTTTTTGGCTATCTGCAATATACAACTATGGTATTACAATGGCAACCGACAGACTCCTGGTCTGAGAAGGCATTTGATGGCTCTGCCCTCAGCTTTCCTCTTGCACCTCAAAGTCTCCTCAGACATAACTGGGACAGCTCCTATGGAGATGGTGAACCCAGGTCTTCACTTCTCAGAAGCTGCAAGCAGAGATTCAATATCCTTAATAACTTCAGAAGTTTTTTCCAAAGCCTGCAAGACACACCCTTCAGTGATTTCTTCTGGCTCAATCTCGTTTTCTCTTTTTCTGACAGTAATACCAGATGGAGTAGATTTTGCAGCAGTTGTCCTTTCCAGAACATTGCTATTATCCAATAAAACTAGTGTTATTTTGTTAAGGAAAAAATATCAAACTCTTCCTCCTAATGAGAAGAATACTTCTCCATATTTGTATTGATCGTTCTGCGTGGCAAAGTCTTACATTTCATAGCATGGTAATGACATAAAGCTAAAAAATTAAAACAGTGTATTATTTAAAATGTCTACATGTATAAAGAATGTCTTCAAGTAAGACGTCAGTTTACCTGAAAGTTACTTTAAAAAGGTAATTGTCACACTTCACAGTTTCACAGCATGCACTTTTCATAGCAGTAAAATTGAACTCTGGCTTAAAGACAACTACAGAGTGGTGCTACGCACATGCAATGCAGCACACTTTTCTGATGTGGCTAAACACAATGGAGCAATACTGAGATAGCTGGCAAACAGAAATGTATTGTACTGCAATAACATGCCCAAAGGCAACTATATCATCCCTCTTTCAAGAGCAGATGAGTGTAAGTAAAACTAATACAATACCCATTAAAGGGCTTCCTTTTTTTGGTGTCTTTTTATTTTAGTTTTGTACTCTGGCAGTGCTTTCGTTTCTGGTGCTGTGATGCAGAGGTTGAACAATATAAATGATAAAACAAAAATTATAAATAAGAAAAAATGGCTTAAAAAGGTAATTCTAAGATATGGGTAAGACAATAAAGATGGTGAGAACAGGGCAGAGAGCCTTTGATGATCTACAGTGCAGATTTGAATATGCAGATGAACAACAGAATATAAAAGTGAAAAATCATTACAGCTTTCAAAAGGATACAGTTAAATCTCTGTATTTTTTTGAGCTCAGCATCAGCAGACCTGTCCAAGAAAATAAAGATTAAACTATTTAGTATCATAAAAGGTTATCAAATGTGTTTTCTATTTCAGGTTTTAATTTTTAATAGTTTCCAACAATACTGAAAATTACATGAGCAGAATCCAAGAGGAAAAAATGCTTTATTTCTGTCTTTCATACCACTAGTGAATGGTGCTAATGTGCTAGCCATGTGCTAATCATTTGTGTTTCCAAAAAGCAGTACTCTGCTCTAAGAATAGTCTTTTAGCTGTACATGTGTATAAATATATATAGATATAGTTTCATGAGCTACTGAATCTGCTGTAATTTGAATAAGAAGTGCAGGTGTAGACAATTTCAATTAATGCATTTTTAATACCCAAATATGATGTCAGTAGACCTTTGGTCAGTGGCATGTTTAAAAAGGACAAATACATTACCAAGAGATACAAGTGTCATTTAGCAGCTCAAAGTACTATTTTAAACTGCTTGGTGTTCTGGTAAAAGACAGTCTTTCTTAGTCTAGTTTCTCTTTCTCACCTTGCAAGACACTGCCTCTGTAACATTAAACCTCCTTTGGTAGAGTCACCATAATTCTATAGTCTAAATAAGGCCAGCTGAAGTGCAATGAAACGAGACTCACCCAGAACTCAACTTACCTAACATTTTAAACACTGAAAGAAAAAATATGAAACCATACCAAATAAATGGACTTACTATTTTCATTTTTGACCCTTAGGAAATGCAGTGGATAAAATTCCGAGTTTATAGTCTTTTTGAGTTCTATTTTCAACATAATTTGTAGTCAGTTATTTAGTAAAAAGATAAATACCAATTTTCTTCAGTTACAGAGTGTGCAGTACATTCAGGAATCTCCTTCCTTTCATTCAAACTTCTGCACCATTCTATTGCTGTTCTGATGTACCTATGTTAACATTAAAATTCACAGAAAAGTAGTTATGTGCATGAGAAATACAGTCTATTAATTAAAGCAAAAAACTGAAGGCATTAAGCAATATACCTGGGATCTGACAGAAAAAGCCATGATTCAAATCTAGCCTTTTCTCTAGGTTTCCTAGTAATTTTTGATTCCCACTTTTTTTTTCTATAATCCCCTCCATATTTAAATCTATGCAGTTTTAGAAAATTATAACAAAGCTGTATAATTTGTAATGAATAGTGTACAAAATTTCATTTTTGTTTGTGAGTATCTGCTTGCTAAAATGCAGAACAGTAAGCTTCTGATGATTCCCATAATGAGCCTGTAATTAGAGCAAGCAGATTAGAGAAAGCAATCTGCAGACAGAGGTCAATATCTGTAATAAAGCAAAAATTGGATAAAGTGCTATCCAGCTCTATGCACCAGCTCATATAGGACAAAGACTGTTTTTTTTTCTTATCCACTGATGTAAGCACCACATTGCAGCTATTCTTTAAAAAAGACATTACTGTAACAATTATAATGGAATGACAGCATGCAGGGGTCCTGAGTCATACAGGTCCTGAATCTCTGTCAGATGTAACATGGAGCTTTAATCATTATGCGTTTGGTTCCCACCCCACCCAATGTATTTGCAGTAAATACCATTTCTTCATATGGAAGGATTTGTACAGAATTCTTCTATAGTTAACTTTAAATTGTTTAAATTACTTATACCTTTCATAGATTCCAGGATTACTTATTTGGATTAGCTGCTGCACCCCATCAGGCGTAGTTAACTTACACCAGCCTCCATCTTCATTTACCTTAGAAGAAAAAAAATCTGAAGTATTAATTTTGTGCTGGAGTCTGAAGAAAAAAAAGCAACTATAACATTCCAATTTAAGAATGAAGTATCTGTGAACATTCCATTTAAACACTTAGAAGTTTGTGTCTTCCTAAGAATAGAATTTGTTATAGTCTGCAATGACAAATGCAGGAGGAAAAAAAAAGAACACCTGGCATGGCCCCAACACTCATTTTGTGCTATTCAAGAATACATTAACTCTAGAAGTGTCTAGAAAGGTTGCATAACCTGGAGAATTTTCACTTCTTCCTCCTTTTACCATGAGTGAGTATACAGATTTGAGCTAGCTCACATCAGGAAGTTATACTGCATTTTTTGGCATACTATCATATTTTTATTGTTTATAACAGGTATCCTCAGACACTCCAAGATCTTTTTTGTGTCTTATCACATTATGGTAATAGACAAAGACTCAAAAGCCAAAAATCTCAGCAGTCAACCTTGAATCTCACTCACATAACTTTCTCTGTAGTGCCATTTTTCAAAAATCATATAGTCTTTTTACTTTTATATTAAGTAGATTTAAAAATGTATATGTGATGCAATATGCACAACATTGTTTTTCAGTGTAATTTTTTACTATTTGCTCAGTTATAGACAATTTGAAATAAAACCCAAATACTCCCTTCTTTGATCAATGTGAATGACTTCTGAAAAGAACAAAGTTTCATCTGCTTCTTTAGGCATCGTTTATGCACTAAAATATTTTTCCTTCTTGTTTCTGATTAAAATACTGGCAATACATTAACAGTTGCGTTTGTGGATAGTTCCTATTTTAATTTAGACTACTATACAAGCTCAAGAGTAAGAGCTGCGAGTTACTGATTTCTCAAAAGATTTACTTTGTATTTTATAGGCATCAAAACTTTTGTTTCCTTTTTCCCATTACTTTCCTAGTAACACTTTTTTGTTACGAGTTTTAAGAGTGCTAATTTCTCTAACTCATGAGTTACCTGGATCTTACTACAGGAAGAACTGAAATCCCAGACCATATTCAAGGTCATACCATCCCAAAAAACAGCATGGACTTTATGATCTGAGTACACAATGAGTCTTCCTATACTGGGAATAACCTTTTCATACAGCAAAATTGGCAACATTTCTCGTCCATCTGTCTCAGGTACCTAGAACCACACAAACACATTAAAAACTTGAGAAACAGTTACTGACATCATTACAGCTGTTTGTGAGCGTCTCAGATTTTCAGTTCAGTTGTTTTTCCAGGCCACAACCAGCTCTTTATCACACAATTGCTTTCTGCTTCACACATACACCTTTACATTGCATGCTTCTGGTTCCCAAATGTAGACCTTCTGATCTTTGTTCATAGAATACACTCACCAATCCTCCCTCTAGATTAGAAGTGAATCCCATTCCCTATAGCCTGTATAATCAACCTTGTAACGCTGCAAGATTCATAAATCTCCAGCTACATACCATTTTCCAGCAGCAGAGATGATAGTTATGAGTTAATGATAGTTTAGTCTTGTAGCAGTACTGAAGTATTCTGAGGAGAAAAAAACCCGAAATATTAAGCATTTCATACTTACTATGTCTGTCCGTAAACAGTTGCGACCTTTGTTCTGTAAGTTTATAGACATAAATTCCTTTAATTTTTCTACTTAATGTCATAATAAGAATTTTGTATAATTTTAACTACTGTCCTTTCAAAGTCAGAGGAATCAATGTAACAAAGATAAAGAAGAGCAAGTTACTTGGTTGCCTGAATAATGATGGAGGATATAGAGTATGGATTTCCTGGTACATCAGGAGGTAGGCTGTTTACTGAATACATCTTTTCTTCTTTCTGCAGTAAAAAGCAGAAAGGAGATGAGTTAGTTACAGGTACTGTAGCATGAAAACAATATTAAGAGCTTGCAAGATATAAATTTTCTGGCCTCCTAGAAAGCATTTAAATTTGTACCAGGACACAGATAAATACCTCCTTGAAAAGCAAAACAAATGCAGTTGTATTCTTTAAGCCTAATATGATAAGAAACATTCATAGTTTCCATGCACTTGGTACAGACCAAGACACTCTCTTACCAGAGAGCAGACTGTAGTCCATTACTGAGTACAATTTGACTACAAGTTAAAGGCTAGGTTCAAAGGGTTACAAAGTTGACCCTTAATTCTGCTTTAAAAATACAAAGCACTGGATAACCACATGAGAGGGTCTCTGCTCTGAGGAAACTTAAAAATAAACACACACACAGAGGCAAAACCATTTCTCCAGCTCTAAACAGCTGGTCTGCGGCAAAGCCAGAACAGCACCTGCATCTTCTGGGTTCTAGCTGAAAAAGAAAACCCTTTCAAGTACATAAAGATCAAACTCTCATCAGTATCTTAGTTTAAAGACTAAACTTCTCTTCTAAGTTAGTGAAAAATGGTTATTGTAGAATCTTACTGCAGTACATACTGAAGATTGTGAAATAAATGTTACAATGAGTAAGATTTTTCTTATTGTGTCTATAATTTACAAAAATACATTCCGTAGCAGAAAAAATAATCTCATTTTTTGTATGACTGATTGCTTGATTCAGTCATTATAGTAATTACCAAGGTAATTCAATACTGACTGTATTGCTGAATGTCTTACAACTATGAAAACTGCTAACTTGAAAGAATTTGAAATACATTTTAAAGTAGTTTTATAATTTTATACCTGCTTTGTTGTTTTTTGGATTGCATAATGTATGAAATAGTTTCCCAGAAATGCTCCCTCTGACTTGAAAAATGAGTCATCACCAGGATAAATTTCTGTGATGTTTGTCCTACCATGGATAAATCTAAGAGAAATAATACGATTTTTAACAAGTATTTAAAATGCTGTGTCACTAGACAATCAAAACAGGTTAGTACACTTGAAAGCATTATGCAGAAACACATTTTAATCACAACTCTCACATGAAAAACTTTCTACTGTTCACAAACAGCAGAATGTACCAATTATTCCTTTTAACACAGAAGATTAGCATTACCAGGCTCTTTGGCTGCATGTGTGCATGGAGGGTGGGAATTAAACAAGCTAAGGAAAGTTCTTTTGTGTTGAGGTAAACATCTGTCAAGAGCCGCTCATTCCGCTGACCACAAAATGTAGTGATTCTGAAGAGAAAAACCCAATTTTCTTAGCAGACCAGCTCTACCTAGTGCACACAGAGAACTGTCAGACTGAACAATTTCTGAACAACCTGAAGGTCTTAAATTCCACTGCAGGTGTGTATTTTTCACTAAGATCAATTGTCTTTTACTTGTGATCATACAGTATCTTGGAGCCTAAAGCGCATTTAATGACCCAGTTCTGCAACTCTGTGGTTAGATGCCTGGGCTTTGGAAATGGAACTTAAAAGACTAAGTATGGTCACTCTCCACACTTCCAAAGAAATGAGGCATAGCATCAAGTTGCTGCTCAACATTTTGTCCAGATGAGATGAAAATTTAGGAATTACACTGAGAAAAATTAAGAACACTAGGCAGAAAGATTAAAGCTTTAAAGACCAACTATGCTTTTATCAAAGACTTTCAGATGCTGATAGCAACTGTAGCATTTTCAAGGTTTGCGTAACCAAGTTGAAGGGGCAATTAAAAAAAAATGAAAAGTCTTTTTTTTAACCATATGGACAAGCTGATTTCCCAGGAGAATCCACAGTGTAACTGCTTGCAATTTGTGAATTATGTAGGTCACCAGGACAAACATTTCTAAAGTGTGAAATCTTCAGTATCAAAAGGAGCAATGTAATCTGCAAAGAAAACAAGTGCCATACTTGTCAGTGAAGTCTGTGGGAGCTCCAGCTGTCCAGTAAACCTTTAAGAAATCAGATAATCAGATCATGTCTTTAAAAGCCTTACACAGGATTTCAGATTATATGTTTCAGACATGCCCACTTTCAGACCTGGAAATATACCATACTAGAAAATCTGAAGTCCAGTGAAGAAACAGCAGAAACGAACAGACTCTCACATGAAGACTGTGTACAGTTTCCAAAGGAGTGAGGAAGGGACAAAGTAAGACTTAAAGCTTAATTCTCATACAAACGAAGTCTTCCAAAGGTGAAATGCATGATCTTCCACATACCTATAAAAAACACCCTGGCACCATACAATTTCAATTAGCTGAGGGCATGAATACTTTTCAGTATCTTGATTCCGAAAGAAGTCAGAGAAAGTCCACCTGTATAAAATATAATAAAAACTTCAGTGAGTTTGAAGGTCAGGGGTTTTTTGTGTGCTAGTAATAATTTCTGTACCAAAGACAGATGCCTGCACATCTGTTCAAAGGAAATGAGGCCATGTATTTTCATGCATGCTCTAATTCCTTAGCTATTCACATCAGTTATGAAATTAATTTTCTTAAACCTGAAAAGTATTTTAAAATTATTTTTAGTGGTGCTGACAGAGAAGGTATGCCACTGGCCCACCTCAGTAATACATTCTCAATAATGAAAAAACCCAAACCAATCCAAAACCTGTGTTCTTTTTTCAGTGTTCTCTTTTTCATTTACATATTTATGCAGCATGTCAGAAATAAAATTTATTTTTCTCTGGAGTAATTACTATCTATTAATTACAGTAGGATACAAAATGTTGGTGTCAAAAATTTCAGGTTCCAAGAAGTTCCTAAAAAGAAAAGTATATGATAGTGATATTTTTTAACAACTAGAATTCAGTTATTTTGATAGAGGTTTAAGTTCCAAATTGCAGAATTGTAAAACCTATGTTAACAACTATGAATTAAAGAGCTTAAATTACCTGTGTAAATGTGGGGCTCTGCAGCTGAGTGGCAAAGCTGTAGGTAGACGAGAAACTGTTTCATGTGTTTCAGGGCCTACTGAAACATCAGCTTCTATAGATGTATGGCTGTTTTTCTCATATGTCTTCTTTATACTCTTAACAGTGTGTAAGTTATAGCACATTAGTGCCAACGACAAAGGGTATTTCCATTCTTCTGGGTAGGAGGAAACAGACCAACGCTGCTTAACCCATGTGTATTCAAAAGAGCAATTTGTGTAGAACAAAGGGACTCCATCTCTGTCTTTTTGGTCCTTTGGTTTGGTTGGCTCACTGTATTTACCTTCTGCACAACTGTGTTCATTCTTCTTACTCTCAAGTCTCATTTGTTTCGATGACATTTCAGCAACAGAATTTTCACTTGATTTTCCATACTGATCTCTGGTTTTATAGTTGTTGTTCTTTTGAGAGGAGCGTAAGGATGCTGCACATGACTGGCTGACTTTGCATAAGAACTCCACTGTAAATTCTTGCTGCAATTCTGACAGGTGGAGGTGAGCATAACCATCTACTGACGAGATCTTCACGCTGCCGTTGTCCATACATCTCGTCAGATCAGCCACAGCAGGATCAGGCCATCTAATTTCTACAATATCACTGAAAAGAATCTAATACAAGAAAAAGGATTGGAATGTGTGGCAAGATAAAAATTACCTGCTTCCCAGAAATTACAATGGAGGATTTACATTGAAATGAATTCAGTCCTTCTGCAAGGTGATGTATAGCAAGAAAATTTACTCTGTATTTATTTGCATACATGAACTCAAGAAGCAGCAAAATATCGAACCTTCATATGTACTTCCTCCTGTTCTAATACAGTTCTATCTAGTAATAATGTTTTAATTGAATATGCATTCATAATCTAGTAAGGTACGTGGCACAACTGCCCACAGACAGTAGATACTTCTGTTTCCAACTGCTTCCCATGAAGATGTACTCTGTGTTCACCAACAGTTTAAGCAGTGTATCAAAAATGTTTGAAAATTCTAGGAAAGGAGTAAGAACGCAAATAATATATAACCTTTCCACTGCATATATATTCATGGGTAACCTGCATTTTGAATACTGCTTGCAGTTCTGAACAAGCCGTACCACTGACCAGATCCTCCTCCTCAAGCTGTCCAGAACTGTGGATGGTCAGTGTGGCCAAAGCAGAGCCTAAAAAACCATAGTACTAGGTTATTTTGAATTCAAGCATAAGCAAAGGAATGTAGTATAAGCGTAGAAACATTTTTGTACCCAGTGGCCCAGTAAAAGTGCTGTCACTGCTAGTAACAGGCCCCAGGCTGGCCCATTAGGCTCGTTACCAACTTGTTACAAGAACATGCTGAGTGAACTGGAGCTTGATAGCTGTTACCTCATTATAACGGACTGCTGAACTGTGGGAAATTGCAAGGGCCTTGAAAATGTCAGCACTGGTTGAAAATTGAGGCAACAGAACAAAAAAGGATACAAAATTACTGAAGAAGTACAATCTCAAGAACTGTAAAAAACCCTGCTTTTTCTTTAAGAAAAGCAGCAGCTGATAAACTGAGGGAAAAAAAGAAAAAGGAAAAAAAAAGCCAAGAATAACGCACTTGCTGTAGCCTGGGAAAATTATCCCTCAACATCCTGAAGCAAGCACTCACAGTGGAAGCTGTAAGTTAAAAACTGTCTGAAAACTCAGCCATCTTCTGTAAGAGTAAGATTCTGGCCTGGGGGAGGGTGGAGGGTTCCCCACCAGCACCGAAAACAGAACATCAGTGCGGTGCCGCTGTACCTGGCTGTGAACGCACAGCGTGACTGTCATGGACTGACTGTTGTTCAGTGTGTGCTGGTACTGTGTTTTCAGCAACTAAGCATTAGTAACATGTGTTACTTGTGAAGCATCAGACTCGTAAGACTCTCACCACAGTGTGCATGCCAGAGGGATGCTGACAAGGAATACAGCTCCTAGGAAGGGTAAATGGGGGGGTCTCTGGATCAACTTTTAGTCTGATGTGGAGCAGCTACCAGAGTGACACCCTGCCTCTCACAAGCCTCCTTCATAGACTCACACAGGTGCTCCTATGGGGACATGATGGGTGATTCTGCCTCTACTCTGCTCTTGTGAGACCCCAGCTGGAGCACTGCATCCAGTTCTGGAGCCTCCAATATAAGAAGGATATGGAGCTGTTGGAGCAGGTCCAGAGAAGGGCCATGAGCATGATCCAAGGGCCAGAGCACCTCCACTATGAGGACCGACTGAGAGAGTTGGGGTTGTTCGGCCTGGGGAAGAGAAGGTTCCGGGCTGACCCTATTATGCCCTTCCAGTTCCTGAAGGGGTCCTACAGGAAAGCTGGGGGGGGACTTTTTACAATGGCCTGTAGCGACAGAATGAGGTGTAATGGTTTTAAACTGGAAGAGGGTAGATTTAAACTAGGTATTAGGAAGAAATTCTTCACTGTGAGGGCGGTGAGACACTGTCACAGGTCGCCCAGGGAAGCTGTGGATGCCCCCTCCCTGGAAGTGTTCAAGGCCAGGATGGACAGAGCTTTGGGCAACCTGGTCTGGTGGGAGGTGTCCCTGCCCATGGCAGTGGGTTGGACTGGATAAGCTTTAAGGTCCCTTCCAAACTAAACCATTCTATGATTCTGAACCTGATAGCCTCTCGGAAAACACTGTCCTGTTTCACTGAGCTTTCTCTGAAAGGTTTCAAGTGCAAAAAAGTGATGATACATGAAACAGCTCATTCTGTCATAGATACAGAATCCTACGTTTTATTCTTACTAAGAGAAAATGAATTATTTAGTGTTTATCTACAAAGGATATGCATAAATATAGGACTAATTAACACTTAAAACTGTAGTTTAAAGTGTCAGTATTCTAATTGAGTTGGCATGTATTAGCCAAACTGTGCTCTGCAGATCTTCACAGCCTGTGCTCACACACACGCATGTAAAATCATGTAACTCCACTTTGTCAGACTACTAGGGAAATTTAGTTTACAAAAGCGTTGTATGTGTAACTCTCACCTTTTTTCTTTCCGGAGGTATTACACGTGAGGGTAAATATGGGCGAGAAGAAAACTTGTTTCGGAAATCTAACGCTCGTAGAAGTTGTTCCTAACAACGAAATAACACCACAACACAGCCGTGTTACATGGCGACATTTCTGTGCAGTGATAACATTTCAGCCGATTTTATCCTCTTATTTTTCTGCAGGAGAAGCTAAGAACATCCCTCCACTGTACACAGAGAAACAAGAACTTTGTTTCTGCCGTGGCGCTGAGGGACCAGCACTCCCCAGCGGGACGCCCGCTCCCGCCCACCCCTCTCCTGCCTGAC